CTCTTTGTAGTGAAACAAATTTTTTCTTCATTGGTGATTCTCCGAACAATGGCGATTGATGCATGCAAGATATACGAAATAAATTCGCTTCATTGGCGTCTGTCATTGTTTTTAGATTTGTTACGTTTTACATGTGCCAGCTTTATTGAAAAATATTAGAGGTACTAACTCGTAAAAACTAATTTTCACTAATTAAATCAAAACTTCCATACGTGATCTCTAAAGGAGTTACATTAGAGGAGTGTGAATGTTGAACAGACGAATTTAATTATCCGTGGTCTATGGGAATGGGTCAATTATAAAGCCAACATGTACTACTGGACAAGGTGAAAGAGTATTGGTTATCTAATCTTAGTCGCATTCACAATAGTTATCAAAATTGATCCAGTAGACCTACACGCGTGCAAAGTAAGCTATATTTCCTAAATGGCAAGTGGCATTTCAATGTTCTTGTTATTCTAGAGAATTTAAACTGTAGGCTTGGGACTTTTGTACTTCAGGTAGACCAAGAACAGCAGATATCCCACCTCGAACTTACAAACAAAAAATTCCTTTTTATCAATGTATTGAAAAAATTTATCATGATACATTTCCTCTCGATAACTTCTCACTGGATCCGATTTAATTGGATTTCTTGCTAATTCGAGACAAATTCCTCCGTATGTATCGAACCAGATAAATATCGTTAGAATTTTATTAAAATTTATATGTATTGCTATAAAATTCAAACCAGTTGACTTCGTATTATATAAATATTAACAAGTTACTGTAATAATTAACATTAACTTACATTTCAAAATTTGATAAATAATATAAAATAATAAAAATAATGGAAAAGAATTCCTCCAATCGATAAATAATTCGTAAGATTAAAATAATTAAATCATTTCAATACTTTAATAATAATAAAGGATTTCAATGAATTTTCACATGCACAGGTTTTATACCATTTTATATAACTTATATAAATTTATAAAAATTTATAAACTCCGAAAAAAATCATAATAATATTAATATATTTATTACAACTATTTCCAAAAAAAAAAAAATTAAATAATAAAAATAAATAAATAAAATAAATAAAATGACAATCAAATATTTTTTTTTGTTTTGTTTTTTTTTAGGGTGGTGGCCCAGAATTGCGATTACGATCCACTTGATGCTGTGGCACAACATAATTGGATTGTCGAATTTGTACATTGTCAAGTGGCGGTGGTGTGGGTGAAGTAATAATACTTGGTACATTGGGAGATACATTATTGTAATTCTCAAATACTGGTGCTCCACCTCTGGGAAGATATGTTGAGGTGGTAGGATAAGTACCTCTACCAGGAGAATGTTGATTTACAGTATTTGAACCAGTTACAAGTTGTCCAGATGATCTATTTTGTGATGATGAGTCCGGAACAATTAAACTACTATACTGATACGGATAAATTGGATTGGTGGGAGGAAGATACATTGATGCTGGTGTGGTAGGTGACATACTATTAGGCGATAGATTACTAGGTGCCAAACTATTAGTATTTATATTATTGGGTGCCATGTTATTAGGTCCTTGTGGTTGAACAGAATGATGTGGTGGCGGAGGTGGTGGAGTATTTGATGAATAATACGCTTGGGGAAGGGAATTTGATTGTCGAAATTGATTTTGTTCTACCCAACCCTGTCGATGTTGTGGTATATTTTGTGACTGTTGAGAATTCGAAATAGTTGGCATGAAATACTTTGGAATATGGCTCTCTTGATTTCGAACCCTCTGTTGTTGTTGATGAAGTAGTTGTTGTTGTTGTTGTTGTTGTTGTTGTTGGATATGAAGTTGAATTTGTTGTTGATGATGTGATTGTTGCATTTGTTGCTGTTGCTGATGTGTTTGTTGTATCTGCTGTTGTTGCTGGTGTTGATGTTGATGTTGATGTTGCTGTTGATGTGGTATCATAATAATTTGTGAACGATTAAGAGATTGATTAGGTTGAGTAGATTGAGTAACGGGTATAAACTGAATAGGAGTAGGTTGATTAACTACTGATGACATTATTTCAGGAGGTCTCGATTCTTCTGCGTCTACATCAATAACCATTGGATTGTCTGAAGATTGATCTCCATTGAACCAATCATGAGATATATTGTCGTCTGTTGATGGGTTCAATAAATGTGATATGGCACTTTTTACTGATGATTGTGGAGAACTTGATCGATTATAATTTATGGATGGAGAAGTCACTGATTTATGTGGTGGTTCAACTTGCGGTTGTGTGTCACTTCGGTTATTATTAAAATAATTTCCATTATTATTAAAAGTTTGTTGCTCTGTATTAATATCTGAAGAAGTCTGTACAACTGGTTGTGGGGTGTGAGTGGTAGAGATAGAAGGTGAAGTTTCTAAATGTGCTAGAGTTTCAGATCGAGATTCAACCGTTTTTGGAATTACACCCGAAGCAATATGTTTTTCATAATAATTCTTTACTTGAGTTTCTGACTTGGTTTCAAGAATTTCAGAAATTTTCTTGAAATTTGTACCATATTGATTTAATGAATTGTTAAATTTCTCCACATCCGATTTGTTCCAATACGATGATGTAATTTTCTTCTTCGTAGGAACATTCTCTTCTATCGATAAATTTCGTGCTCGTGTAGGATGATCATATTGTTTTGACTTGTTTTTTCCCCCCTTTTGCATAGATTTTTGCGTATTTTCTGTTATAGGTAGTTGTGCTAATAATGTAAGAGCATGTGCAGCATCCTCGACATCTGTAATATTTTGTTGAAAATTTTGGTTATTTGTAGGCAGCGGTGGATCCATTGTTGCTATGCTTGATATTAAAGGTATAGAAGTTGATTGTGATTTAAGTGAATAATCATCATCTGCTTGTTCTTCAATTTCAATTTTATTGATAATTTCTTCAGTAACTAATTGATTTTGGTCATTCTCCGTTAAATCATCTTCTTTATTATAAATTTCAACACAATTATTACCAACTGAATTTTCTCTCATATTGTTTCGTCGTTCAGGTAAATTATTATCTGTTCTTTGTTGATGATCGCTTTCTGTCGCTATCAATGGTGCCTTCCTTTTCTTTGGGGATTGTTTAACCACTGTATTACGATTATTAGTTGATTTTCCAAATTCTTCTTTAACTTTACTACCATTTTTGTTTAAAGAATATGCCTTTTTTAATTCTTTGTAAATTTCAATTTTCTTACTTTTTAAATAATAATAATAATTATGACAATCATTTCTATTCTTTTGTTCTAAATGTTTTGCTATTTCTTCAAACCTCTTTGGAGTAAATTTAAATTGTCTCATGAAAACAACATGTTCTTCAGGTGTCCATTTTTCTCCGGGATCTTTATTAAAACCATAAAAACTGACTGGATCTCTAACAATATTATTGTTATTGATAAATTTAGCATAATGTCGATTTTTTTCTCCGATTATCATTGGGGGTACGGGAGCGGCTCGTCGTTCTTGTTCGGCTTCCTTTAAAATTTGTTTAGCAATTTCTTCAACAGCAGCTTCACTATTGACATAATCGTTTTTTGAAAACCTGCCACTTTTTCTGGTACCTTGATTTCGACTATATCTATCCTTTTTTAGTTTCTCTTCATTATTATTATTCGTCTTATGACTTACATTCCATTTATTTCTTAGATTTTCTCTTTGTTTTTTCAATTCTTCAATTTTACAATCTTCTTCCTTCTTCTTTAAATTAAAACTCTTAATTAGAGCCGGTCTACTTTCAACAAGTCCCACCCCATCAAATAAATCCTTATATATCTTCTTGATTTCTTCTTCATTTGTTTTTACTTCCAACCGTTTTGAATGAATATTTGATTCCTCTGTATCATTGATATTGCTTATACCTTCGGCAATTTTCTTCGTTGATTTTTGATCTAATGCACGACGTTTATTATTTCTGAAGACATGTTTTTTTTTCGATTTTCTACGTTTCTTTTGGATTTGAACTTTGATTTCTTTATTTTCATTTTCATCGTGATTTACACACAATGCTCTATCTTCCGCTGCACGTTTTACTCGTTGTTCTTCTTTACATTTTTCTTTAAGATTTTCTTTTTCTTTTTTACACTTTTCTCTTTCTTCTCTTTCTTTTTCAACTCTTTTAGTAATCTTTTCTTTCTTTTTATTATATATATGATTCCATTTATCAAGGTCTTCTTCTATTTGTTCTATTTCTCTACCAAGCGCATTAATAAGCTCCGTTCGTTGTGAATTTGAATTGCATGAGACAATTGGCAGTTCCAATTCTTTGGGGGATGTATTCGGAGTATTAATTGTTAAATCTTCATTTAAATTTTTGATATCCTCATTTGTTGGCATACTAGATATTTCCATATCATTTATAGAATGTTCTTGATGACTTTCAATTGTATTTAAATTAGAATTAGTATTATAATCTATTGTGGGAGACAACTCATCTTTTGATTTTGGTTCATTTAATTTAACCGAAATTAAATCTGTTTCATCTAGCTTTGATGGTGGCGTTGTTTCTACTGCAATCAAATCTATTTTCGATTCAGGCAGTTCATTATCATCATTAACTTCTGTTACATTGGCTTCACCTTCACCTTCACCTTGTAATGATATATCTCCTTCAACCAAATCAGGTTCACCTTGGTCAATGCTACGCCAACCTGACCAACCTCCTTTCTCATTTTCATTTCCATTTGTCCTTCGTTCTTCACCTTCATTTTCATTTATCCTTTGTTCATCACCTTCATTTTCATTTTCACTTGTCCTTCGTTCTTCGCCTTCATTTTCATTAGTCTTTCGTTCTTCACCTTCATTTTGGGAGGTTGTAATTGTATCAATGGGTGATAATGAAGATGGGTCCAATATTTCTTTATTTTTTTCACGTTTCTGCTCTTTAGGATAATTGAAATTCTCATTTTCTTCAATTCTATCAGAATGTTGAATACTCGAATTTTGAGAATTTTGATTAATTTCCTGTTCGACATGATGTGGAGAAATTTCTTCAGAATTCCCTGATAAAGATTTCAGTTTCGGTGAAATAGATTGATGTTTTGATAGTGATGATGATGAACTTGTAATTGATGACCTAGTTGGTGAAGTAGATCTATTATTATATTCCCTTCGAATATTTGTAGGGATTTGAACACTAAATCGAGGAGGATTTATTCTATCTAATTCAAGTTCGCCTTCTCGAAA